TGGATGCTTCGGTGTGCAGAGATTCACAACATAAAAAACCTTCCACTTTGGTCACGCCTAGTGCTCCATCCAGCAAACACGTTTTCTCTTCTGCACTTGTCGTCTTCCACTTTGCTGTCACCTTGAAGCAGTTTTTCGCGTGTCTCCAGACAAACCAGTGCATCAGCAGACAACTTCAGACACCAACCAAAGAATAACAACTTGCAAAGCGAGTGTGACTGGTAAACACACTACGTGGGTGTATAATCGTCTGTCTCAATGCCTAAAAACCATCACAAATTCACAACCGCACAAAAAAAACGTCTTTCAGTTCAATCCTGCTTAGTGAATTCCCCAATAACAACAGACACAATGATGAGTAAAATATAAGAGGACCAGGAATCAGGGAAAGACCATAAAGGACAAAACCGCTACATATATTCCGTTGCACTTTTAAATTTACTTTTGACTATGTAATACTTCGATTGGTAGGTTAACTCTCAATTCCGGTTACGCGGATACTTCGGGCTCCGTCATTGTACTTCCACTACGTGGCATTGCCCAAACGCCATGCCAAAAGCCCCTCACCCATCCGCCAAGTCGACAACACGTTTTTCGCCCTGCTATTATGACTTCTTTCAACCCCAGACAAGACTTGGGGCGCCACAAATTAATTCCCCATTTTAGATTGATGTGGCCTCCACCAATTCTTTTCTCCAGCAAAAGAAAGAGTGCCCATAAATCTAATAACACTAGAATATCTCCATACGATAAGGGTGAATACGTTGGCCGAGACTCGTCGCATGTTCAAGCAAAAATCCTGATAATCCTCAAGGTCTTTCGTCATTTCGCCAAAAATGGAAGTCAATGGAGAAGCTAGAATCCACTGACACAGTTCATCCTCCAGACACGGCAATACGCCAGGTTGCACTCCAACTGTACCAGAGAAAGACGATAACTGAGAAGTCTCAAACCCAACCAATCTACCATTCACATACTTCCGAGTAGGTTCAATGTGCCTCGTTTCATCCACACGGTATTCATTCATTCGTCCAAGCCTTCTTTTGCCTGTTGTTATTGTCTCCTTCGATCAAAAACGACTTCGCCTTCATGCCGTAATTCAGCGCACGGACAAGCAGAAATCGCTGAACACTTAGCGCAGCCAAAAACACGAGTCGAATGGAATGGGAGACAAGAAGCAACATCCCACCAGCACCAGACACACACACACACACATACACACTCAGACACGAATAAGGGCCAAGGGTTAAAAATAGCCAAGACCAGCCTCGTGCAGGCACGGCTACGTGTATAACACCCTCATCAACCTACGTCGGTGCTGCCTTAACGACACACAATAAGAGACACAAATGTGTGCATTTACACCATCACACGGTTCAAAACAACTTGTCATTTGCAAATAAACAGACACGCCCAAAACACCTGTTGGCCGAAAAGGGGAGAATGAACGGCCTGTGGCTGTGCTTATGGGAGGGCCTCATTCACTCAGTCAATCGGTCCCTCACAAGCATTGTCACAACAGGGGAAGACAACACAACCCCAAAACAACCCATGCTATGTCCTGCTTTCGGATACACAAGAAGGTAGGATCACACCCTGACAAGTAACGGGTGTGGTTGCAACAATGCGACAAAAGTGGCGAGTTGCTGTTTCAACCGTGGTAGTAATCACCGCCTATGTCTGTGCCTGTGTTTACCACGTCTCCATACGCTTCTCTTGTCTGCGTGCAATGCCTAAGGCTGCTTCAAACTCATCAACAAACCACTCCACACATTTTACTCCAACTTCCGCCTACTGCAAGCACATGCTTGGGTTCAAGATTACCACAATGTGAATAGCCTTCACCTACTTGCGTAGAGTCAATATGAATGCCACAGAAAGCTCGAAACACTAATGATGACTTGGACGGATCCAGCACCTCATTGATGCCTCACAGAGCCTCCTCATTACAGGCAGTTTGTACTATTAAAATAAGCCTCAAACAAGATTAAACTAGGTGCATTAACGTGCTCCAACGATGCCAACAAACAGGCTGCGTGTAAATGAAATTCACGCACCAAAGGCACACCAAATAATTGTCACTCTTTCCTCATCCACCCCTCCATCCACCCATCTACCCATTTATCTATCCATCCATCAATCCACCCACCTATCCATCCATTCATCCATCAAAGCGAACGCATCACACAAGCCGGCCGCATGCATTATTATGCGGCAGACAATTCAATTGCATGCATGAAACGACATTACCACGCCGATATGCTAATGACGACATGAGAGGGTGACATTATCATAATGGCGAAGAGATCAGAGTTGGCAAAAAACAGAATAATTGTGGCGCGATAATTTGCCACAGTGCTGTTCCTTGCTCTAATGGAAGACATCCACCAACAAGTAATCCACAAATAGTCAACACAACCAAGTCACAAAAGGCAACTTGTCCCATTCACTATAGTGAAAAGGTAATTGAAAAAGCCACCATAAACAGGACGCTCCACTCGAAAACACGTGCTTATTTGCCAAGCTCCAAATTGTCAAGATAAAGTGGAATCCAGTCACATCATGACACGAGCCTAAACACCGATGACGATTTGACAGAAGGGACAACGAATAAGAAGCATCGAGTAGAGGTTTTGGAAGGCAATGTCAGTGTTACCAAGATCTCAAGCAACACCATGGTTAACTGTTTGACTCTCGGTTTCGGTAACGGACCACACAGCGGTTCCACCATTGCACCTCCGCCGAAACGCCTCGCCTCCGAGCCATGCCAATGGCCCCAAATTAAGTCTACGCCTACAACACTTATTCTACTTAACTATTACGTCTGTTTTCGACTTCAAGGCGCCACACTTAGACTACAGCACTTAACACTAACTCAATGTCTTAATCAACCTAGGCTTTTAATAGGATAATTAAAAATGGAAAGGAACCAAATGAATACAGAAGGCTTCATTAACCACCCCAGTCGCTGATACAACAACCACCACATCAGTAATCCTCTCCTAATAAAACCCAATTTAAGCAGAACCCACATCCATACAAAAGTAGCAGTACCAACTAGATAGAAGTAGCCACCTCCGTATACATCCCACTCAGTCTCCCCAACTGCCCATTCAGTTCCACTCTAGATTATGCGATTGCTTCTTGGGACATAAAAGGCACAGAATGCCAACAAAGACATACAAGGCAGCGTAGGGGGTGAGGATGGAATAACTCAAACCAATTCATCCCAAACCACCACAAAGTGTGCTAATATCTCCTCATGAGGAGGTCTCGCTACAGTGAGTTATCAATAAAGCAATCAAAAGTGGAAAACCAACCAAATGCAGAGAGTTTCATGCAATACTCCATTTCTTAAACCATCCATTACACCAACATTCCTCTCCCAATAAAACCCAAGTTTACACCAACTCCACCTTCATACAAAAGTCGCAGCACGAACAGAAAGCGGTACTGGCCACGTCTGTTTACAACCCACTCACTCACTCACTTCGCCCGACTGTCCATTCTACCTCACTCGTGATCATGTGATTGCCTGCTCGATGCTAAGGGCAGACAATAATTCGCCACGAAAATTAAAGGGCAACATGAGAGATGAGGAGGAGAATGAGGCGGTATCTCCTTCCAACAAACCTGCCCATCCCAATACATCCAATCCTCCAACGTCTTAATGCCTTCCCATGGACAATTTTCGTGGCCGTACGCATTGAGGTCATAGACTATTTTTCAGGAATTAGAGTAGGCGTTTGTTCACACCGACTCAGCAAGTTCCACCGTTGATTGTTTCTACCCAGTAAGGAGCTGCCCCCCTACACCTCCCACTTACATCGTACCGAGCAGCTGCACAGGAGATGGACCTTGGCAGCCTAGCCGTAATCGTTTGTCAAGAAATTCACTCAGAACTTCGTAGTGAACAAGTCTGTCTTCGCTCCACTCCACTACACTCACTAATTCACTCACCCACACACATGCATACATGAAACATACTATTGAGGGGATCAAGTGATCCGGGCTTGAGGTGGTTAGCGTGAGGTGAGGCGAAGTGAGGTAAGTTAGTGAATGAGTGAGTAGACAGATAAAAAACTCATTTGAAAATTAGCAACGATATGCTAACTCGTTACGCGAATGTTAAAGTACAGAAGCCATCTCTCATCACAATTCAGCAGGTCA